CATAGATAAAAACTTATAGTGTTGAGTGTGAATTTATTTTTTTCTTTTTGCTTTTTTATCTTTTTGTAAGCCCGGAAAATTTGCTACGGCTAAATGTGGATTCTGTATCAGAACAAAATTCACGGATTTTCGGCCGGACTTTTTTGGATCCGTATCCGCTAACCTTATTTCATTTTTGTTATTATGAAAACTGCTGGTATAACGGGAAGCTCAACTATTAATTTATACTAAATAACTATAAAATAAAGCAAAGAAATTTAATTTCTTTCAGTCACGTAGATCACAGCAACAACCATCACCTTTTTCACTCATCCTCTGATAATATAGAAAATTCAAAAAGTCATCAAAATCAGCAACAAAAACAATTAAAATTTCGACGTCAACACAGTAACAGTTTGTGTAGCCCGACCTCCCCAACAAACCCCCAATTCCCTAAAATAACAAAATCAACAACGTTTTTGTCAAATTCGGCCCTTTTAAATGATAAAGATGAAGAGGAAGAAGAAGATGAGGAAGAGGACGATTCGGATGAGTTTGAACCTGGAAATGAGACACTTGTGGGGACTGTTGTTTCCCAACTTGAACAAATGGCTAGATATATCAGAAAGGTTTCTATGCCTCCTGGGGCTAGTCCTGCGCCGTTAAGTGGTAAGGACCATTAATAATTTTACTGTACTTACTGTATTACTGTAACAATTTGCCGTAAACTTTTCAATGGAATCCTTGGACCTTTATTTTTCAACGGGTCTCATTGAGTCGGCCTCTAATAGGTTATGGTCTTCTATAAGTGATGGGCTTTCATTAGAATGGATACGGTATACATATACCGCATTTCCTCTAAAATTAGCGGAGCTTCTTTTTCGTTCGATCTCTAGAGGGGGCTTATTTTGGATCAAGGGGGGGGGGTGTATCTTAGAGGGGACTATTTTAGAGAAAATACTGTAATTCTTATTTAAAAATTTTTTTAGCAGAAATAATAAATCAAAATAACAACGAGGATTTAATTATTCCTTCATCCTCCTCTCCATCAGTAATGAACGAAACTAATCAGAACAATAAAAATTTAAATCATCGCCGTTCTAGTTTGATGACTTGCAGAGAAATGTTGCTTCAACAAAATTTAAAAGAAGAAGAAAATTATTTAAACAAAGGGAATGGAAAGGAAGAAAATACTAGCAACTTTTTTAGTCAATTATATGCTGGAACTAAATTAAATAATAATAATATTACAATTGTAAATTCTGATTGTAATTATGAAAATCAGAACGATGGACATTATAAATGGTATAATAAATTTAATAAATCAGTGGGGTGAGGGGCAAATCAGAGGGCTGAGGGTCCCTCACTCCACTGACGAAATCAGTGGGGGTGAGGGACTTACTATCCGTCAGAGTAAAAGTACCTTCACATTTTTGACTTATGGTGATATTATGATGTTCTAGTAATATTATTATACATTATAGCTAGTGGGGTTTGGTTTTGTAAATTTTATTTGAAAATTTTCACTTCAATATGTTGACTAGCGATGTTCGGGTATCCCGATCCCGACTCAGGAAAATTTCCAGAGTTTTTGGCCTCCCGACTCTCGACTCCTCCCCCTCCCGACTCCTCCCGACTTTCTAATTTCCCAACCCGACTATTGTTTCCCGAGTTTTTCTTCTCTCAAACATCAAAAATGTGGACGGTGTTTTAGTTTGACCCGGTTTTGCCCCGACATTATATTTGCCCCGACATATACACTAATTCTAATTTTAATTATGTAGTCTTTATTTTTCTGATTTTTCTTTTAAATTTAAATTTTTTCTTAATTTTTAGTGAATCAGAAGTCAATAACAAAAACAACAACAATTCATTTAATAAATTGCCACACTCTTCTAAAGCAATAACTATAAGTGATAAAGTTGATGTAATTGAAGATCCATTTTCCAGTGAAGAAATGAGAGGGAGAAATGTTAATTTTGAGGAGGATAATAATTAATTTTGGAGAGATTATATTTAATTTATACAGATTTTATATTTTCCCAAAACTTTAATTTTTTTCTAATTTTCATACCCGGTTTAATTTTTTGTGGATAAAATTTATTTTTCTTGGAAAAAATTTTTTTATATTTAATTAAAAGCCGGGTTTTTAAATATAAATACTATTAAAAATATTTTATTTTATCTGACAATAAGGACAAAAATTTCAAAAATATTTTTGTCATTTTTCTTAATTAATAATTACCGTAAATATTGTATTATAAGCCCACCTCGGTTTTTATTAATCTAAATAACTACACCCTCCTCTAATTTATATTAATTATTATATTATTCTATACGAGGAGACCCATTGAAAAATATAAGCCCAGTGCTAATATTAGAATACTTGCGGTAATTAATAATTATTGTTTATTGTAAATATTTATTAAAAGTATTTTCAAATTTTAAATATATTTTTTTATTAGAAAGTGCAATTTAACTTACTAAAATTTATTTTTTATTAAATCTAAATTCCAAAAGTTAATCTTTCCGGGATAAAATTTACAAAATTTTAATTTATTAAGTTAATTTTTAGTTAAATTGTGCGGTATTTAGGGTTGACGATTTTTCTTTTTAAGAATATTTCGAAGTAAAATTTTAAAATTACGATTTTAAGAAATTAAAATAAAATTTTTTAAATACAAAATGGCAATCCTAATACATATTTTATTCATTTATTTATTTTTTTTATTACACTTCTCCCGGTGTTCGTTCTTCCTCTTCTCCCCTTAAATTTTTATTTAAAAGTTAGTTAAATTTACATTATAAATATTATATTTTCACTTTATTTGAATAAATTTGTTCTGAAAAAAATTAATTTTATTGTAGTTTATGTAGAAACCTTAATTAATAATATAATGAATGAGGGAATTACCACCGTAAATGCTCTAATTGAAGCACAGTCTCTATTTGAAGCAGTCTCTAATAGAAGCACACCCTACGAGCAGATCGAAAAATAGAAGCACACGTGCTTCTATTAGAGCATTTACGTTAAGTAAAAACAAAATCAAATGAAGAATTAAAAGTTTGGTAAAAAATATTTTTAATTTGTCTACTCAAGTAAAATTAATTATTTTTTATCGGCTTAATTATTTTCATTACATATTTATTTGTTCAAATATTTAGTCACAGAAGAAACAGAAAAACTTGAATAACGAACTATACTTTGTCACAAACTATTATAATAACATTAATTTAACAGCGAGACCTATGCGTTGATAAGACTGATAACCAGAGATACATATGTCGAAACGCCTAGTTCTTGCATTCTTTTTTTCCGAGTTCCTTCATCCATAAATTTAAGATTATTACCGAGTTCCGCAATGTGTGCTAATTCAATTTCCGGCAGTATTCCGATGACTGCCGGATCGGAATTACTGCCGAAAACTGCCGGAACTACAAAAATAACAGGACTAAAAACAAATCAATGATATCCCTTGAAACTACTCTCAGTCCCTACAAATCTTCTTATATCACCGGATATCCGCTTTAATCCCTCCAAATCCTCCTTAATCACCTTCAGATCTAATTATCACTCCAATTTCTCTTATTTCCATTTAATCCCACCTTATTCTCATTAATTTCTTCAGAAATTTCTTCAAAATTTTCTGCCTTCTTCCTAAAATTTAAGATCATTACCGAGTTCTGACCTGTGTGCTAATTCAATTTCCGGCCCCTTTGTAATTTCCGATCACCCCTGCTGACAACAAACCAAATAAGACTAAACTCACACGACCTTACAATTTTCTTCAAAAATAATTTTGGGAATTATTCAGCTGATAAAAATAAAACAAGAAAAGGAAGAGGAAAATAATTTGTCATAAACTACAAACAATTAAAAAACAAATTTAGACAAAAATTTTCAAACTACAATTAAGAAAACGTTGAAGGAATTAAATATAAAAGTCAACAAATTTAGGAATATTTAAATAAAAGAAATGATAATAATTTTTATTATTTTAGAACTAATGTACTTTTGTTAAAAATTAATTGTAAATAATTTAAAAATTAATTACGGAAACATTTTTTAATTAAAATAGGAAATTGTAAAAATTTATAGATACATTTGTAAAATATTACAAATTTCCGGAATGATTTTTATTAATAAATTAATTAGTATAACTTTCCGAAAAATAATTAAATCGTCTTACAATTCTTCCGGAAACGTAATAAACATTTTACAAACTTCCCGTAAAACTATTAAATCATTGTACAAATCTTCCGGAAATATTAAACATATTTAAAGCTTTCCGGATTGGTTTTTTCCGGAAATGTATATGTAGTTTGTAAAATAGGTATTACATATTTCCGGAATGCTTTTTATTAATAAATTAATTAGTATAACTTTCCGGAAAACTATTAAATCATTTTACAACCTACCGGAAATTTATTAAACATATTAAAAAGATTTCCGGAATGGTTTATCAAACAATACATAAATTATTCAACTTTCCGGAATTATTTTACAATTGTAAAAAGTTTAAGTACAAATTCCATTTCTAAAATGTTTTGCTTTCCGACATATTTTACAAATTTAAATTATTTTTACAAATTCTAGATTATAGTTTACAAATTAGTCCGTCAAATAATTTTGTAATTTTATTTAGTATATTTCCTTTCCGGAATTCCTTCCATTAATTATAAAATTTTGCTGTCAATTAGGTAACTTATATTTTTAAATATTCTGTTAATTTTCAATTAAAAAATATAGAGGGACTAAATTTTCTTTTAAATAAAAGTTAAATTGAAAATTTTGCTTTTAAAATTCTATTAAAATTGAAAAAATAACAAACAAATTAAAATTTAGACTAATTTTAATTTTAAGAAGAAGTATGCACTTAAAAAATGTTTCCCATTTTTCAAAAAAAAATAAAATTTAATGGAGAAATTAACCGAAATTTAATGAACAAAAGAAATAAACGATAATATTTTTTTAAAGCTTAATAAATTAAAAAAATAGTTCTTAAATTACAGTTATTATTATGAATTTATTACACTCCAATTTCCTTAAATATTTTTATTCAACCTTATTTTTTTCGACTTTAATTTTATTTACTTTCCAACACAATTCTGATAAATTACAATCAGAATTAAGAAAAGGAAGACAACTTAAAATACTTGTATATTCACCTTCTGTGAGTTGGAGTCATGCCCAATTTTTGGGAAGAATTGCGGATACTTTAGTTGATGCAGGCCATGAAGTGGTTAGTTAATAAAGTCATCTAGTCATAGTAACTTTGTGCCGGTGAATTCGTGACGAATGGCACTGTCCATGTATCTTAGCAGTCAAATTGTTTAAAGCGCCGAAGAATGGATACTGGAAGGCAAGATGAGAACGAAATGGCGACGAAAGTATGGGAAGGCGCATTGGAATAAGAGTATTTATATCGCATAAGAGTTATTCCAACCCGTCAATTCCCAATTAATTGTTCTATCCTTCATTCTCCTTTAATAGTCGATTTATCCTCTCCCAACTATGGTTAGTACATATGTAGTAGAATGTGGCAGCATGATCATTAATGGAAAAATATGCAATGGATACATACAAATATGTAAGCATGACAAGGCGAATAATCGCGTGAAGGAATTCAAAAGATGAAAGATGAGTTCACTATTAGGGGTATGGTTTGGGGGTTGATGATCTAAAACGCCTTATGTCATTATAAGCAAACACAATATTTAAATTATTTCTTTAGCATTTCGTCAAGTACATTATGAGCCCACTTTTGCTACAACGAAATGAAACTACTAAAGTTACTAAAATTCATATAATAGAGAAAGGTCTTGAAAACAATGAAATTATGGATATCAAAGATCAACCAATGGTTTCAGAATCTTTCACTAAAAAAAGACAATACCTAACGCTATTTGATCATCCTATGCATCAATTCGGCCCTATGATGGCTATGTCGTGTAAAGGTAAAAAACTAATTTTAAACAGCTCAAAGGATACAAACTTACGGAATATATCTAAATAGATGGATTTTTTAGAAACAGATGCTGGGCTAATTTCTGATTTTTTCTGATTTATAATGTTTTTACAGAGACACTTAAACAACCAATTTTACTACAAAAATTGACAAATGAACGTTTCGATGTCGGCATAGCGGAGATGTATGATTATTGTCCTTCAGCTCTTTTCCATAAAATTGGTGTTCGAACAAAGCTGACTGCCTATGCAATTCCTTTATTTCAAGCGACGAGTCGCATTTTTGGCATTCCAAATTTTCCTAGCTTTATGCCAAGTAAGTAGGGTTGTACCCCGAACGCTCGGGGGCGGGTATGTCGGGGTACGGGGTTTTCCAATTGTTTCGGGGCGGGGTTCGGGTCGGGGGAGCAAAATATGGTCGGGGTTCGGGTCGGGGTACGGGGGTTTAGAGGAAAAATTTTTAGAGAAAAAAATGCTCAAAAATAGTTAGAAATCGATATATTTTCGTTGATTTATTCAAAAATTAAGTAGGATTTGAAGAAATTAGAGGGGATTTGAAGAGATTAAAGTGTATAACTTGGGATATAAGTGGATCTGGAGGGATTAAGTGGGATTTTTAGGGATTAAATCCTCCGATTACCATTCAACTTCCATTTACAGCGCCGCAGGCAAAATTTTGAATATTTGGAAGATCCTTAAGGCAAAAATCTTCCATTTTTTGCGCCGCATGCGAAAATTGGAGAATTATAGAAGGCTAGAAGCCAGATTTCTTCCGTTTTTTACGCCGCAGGCGAAAATTTTGAAAATATTGGAAAAATCTTCGTCGGAAATTTGCCTTAAAAATTTTCGGAAATTTTTCCAAATTTTCGGAAATCAGAAAGAAAAAAACGTCGGAAATCGGAATTTCGACCCACCTCTGATACAGGGGTTGAAGGATTAAGGGTGGTTCAAGGGATATCAGTTAAAAATAAAATTAATATTTTCGAATTAAAATTTAACTCGTTTATAATTTGTTTTTGTAAAGAAATATAGAAACAATAGAGTTCTCCTTATATGGATCCGAACCCAATTCTATATTAACAAAATATCGGCTAAAACCAACGACTAAGCCACTCAACCACAAGTCTCTTAATAAAGAAGGAAAGAAAATTATGATATTTCATTCATTTTTCTTTCACAAATAATAAAAGCAAAGTACAGTGAGGTGCATATGTTTAGACTCACACACCTATTTTTGATTAAAATTTTAATACAATTTTTATACTTTAAATTTTTCAAATTTTTTTTTCGTTTTTATATAACATTTTAAATGTATTCTTATTAGGAAAATTCATTCCGGGAAAATAATTTTAATTTTTTTAGTTTTTTTGACTTAAGTGAACTGAGGTCAAATTTTGCTGGTGCAAATGTTTAGACTCGAAATTTTAATCGAAAATATCTCGTAGTATAATGTCCCAAAAATTCTACAAAAATTCCAGTGGACATTTCAATTGATATAGATAAACGAAAAAAAATTGATATAGATAAATTCAATTGATATAGATAAACGAAAAAAAAATTTGAAAAATTTAAAGTATAAAAATTGTATTAAAATTTTAATCAAAAATAGGTGTGTGAGTCTAAACATATGCACCGCACTGTATAATGAGTGGAAATTTTTTAAATTTTCTCCATTAATTTCTCCAAAAAATGACATTTTTTAGGGGTATAAAACCCCGATAACCCCGAAATTTTTTTGGCCGGGGTACGGGGTTTTCACTTTTTTTCGGGGCGGGGTTCGGGTCGGGGAGAATCGTGAAAAAATCGTTCGGGAACGGGGTCGGGGTTCGGGGTACGGGGTCGGGGTACAACTCTACAAGTAAGTAAATGATGACAGAATATACATACTAGTAAATCGACCGATCAGTCCCAGAAATAAACTTTTTCTGCCTCTTATAGATAAATATTAATCTCATAAGCAAAATTATTGAAAACGTTAAGATGTGATGGTACCAATACCAGGGCTCGAACATTCTTTCGTTTCACGTTCCATCAATTTTTATAACGAACTCTTCGACTGGCTTTGGACTGGTGATATTACTTTACGACATCAAGTATCTCTTTTAAAATTTTAATTGTCTAGTATTGTTAAAGTAAGGCTTGTACTGGGCCGGGATTGTATTTTGTTGAGCCTAATAGGTTGCTTTGGCAATAGAGGCCGAAGCTGCGAAGTCTGCCACAAATAATTCAGGATAGAGTGAATACCTTCCTATGATTATATTATGCTTGACGGTAATGAGCGAATTGCCAGGGATAGACAAATTAAATAGTCTCTCAGCTTCCTTCAGAAACAATTATAATAATAACAATAATGAAAATCTATTAATCCAGGAACCAGTAATCCGTGCAGAATTTGGCGAGGATTTCCCAGATTTAAAAGAGCTTCAAAAAAATGTTTCGCTAGCTTTCTTCAATTCTAATCCCTTCCTTGAATTGCCTAGACCTATTTCAAACAAAATTATCTACATTGGAGGGCTGGTTGATGATCATACTTCTGGAGGCAATAAAATATTGGAACCGGTAATAATTCAAAATAAACAAGTTCTCTTCAAGTTCCCATCTTTTACCCAGAAAATCCAAAAAATAATGGACGAGGCAGTTACAGGTGTCATACTTTTCTCTTTTGGATCTCTTGCTGACACTGCCAAGCTTAATAATAAAATGAAAAGTGCAATTATCAAAGCATTTGGACGTTTTCCACAAATCCAATTTCTTTGGAAACTTGACAGTGATACAATAAAAAACTTGACAAAATTGCCAAATGTTCATACTTTTGAGTGGCTTCAACAACCTGCAATTTTGGGTTAGTATTACAATTGTAAATCTGAAATTAAAGCATGGGCTTAGGATTCAAGTTTATTATTCTTTTGTATTTTTATAATTACGACTATAATGTTTTATTCTTGTAAATTGACAATATTTCCTTTAATAATTACCCTGGGTAGTTATTGTTCAAAGTCTCAGTAAAGAAAATAATTAATCAACGAAGAGTAACGTTTCGTGATTTAAACATGTAATAGTGTAATTGATGGAGAATAAATATTTTTAAACTTCTCTCTAAAGGAAGGCGGGGTAATTAATAGAAAATAATAGAAAAAACAATTAATAGAGAAAATATAGGGTCCTCCCGTCCCGATTCCAGAAAATCGGGAATTACCGACGATTTTTTGGGACGATTTTTGGGTCGGACTTATTACGTACATTTTTCCATTGTAAAACAAGTTTATTTAGTTCCTAATGTTCATACCACTTTATACTAGTTCATAGAAGCCACAATTCAATTTTTAATATTCCAGGGCACCCCAACCTTCGTGCATTTATCTCACACTGTGGCCAAAACAGTTTGACAGAGTCAGCACGAGCAGGGGTTCCAATTCTCGGTATTCCTCTTTTTGGAGATCAATTCTACAATGCGGATGTTGCTCAAAAACTTGGTATAGGAATACAAATAGATGTTAATGAATTAAGTGGACCTAATGCTGAACAAGTACTGGTTGAGGCGATAGAAATGGTATGAGAGGGAGAAAAATTAAACTTTAATCCCCTCCAAATTCCAGATTCTCTACCAACCTAAATACCAACAAAACGCCAAAATAATATCCAAAAAATTAAAATTAACTCCATTCAGCCCAACAGAAAGACTTGTAAAATGGGTTGAATTTGCTGCAGAATTTGGAGATTTGCCAGAACTTAATTTACCTGGAGAAAAGGAAATGAATTGGTTTGTTTATTATTCGCTTGATGTTATTCTCTTCTCTATAATTGTTTTGGTTATTTTGTTTTGGGTGACATTTAAATGTTTTAAATGGATATTATCTTCATTAATTATTAATTGGTTTGAAAAAATAGAATCAGAAGAAAAGAAACAAAAATGATTATTTTTATTTAAATATTAAAAGATATTTTTTGTAATTTTTGTTTCTTAATAAATTTTTTATTACTTAAAAAAAATTTTTTTACTGTAATGTATAAACCCATCTCTTAACACCCTCTCCACTCCCTCTAACCCCACTACACGATCTAATAGATCATTTTTTAATCTGTTTGTAAAGAAACCCGGACCGGACCAAAGTAGGGATTTTAGGGGAGCCGTTAGTTCCGTTCTGTTATTTTCATAAAAATCGGGAAAAATAAATTTGTTTTGGAAAATAAATTTGATAGTTTAAAAATTTAAATTTTGTTTAAAATAAAATTTAATTTTATTTGGTATTTAAATATAAATAATAAATAATTTATTCAAGTTTGATATTGTAATTGTATTTCAAGTTACCTAATCAAGTTTATTAAACCAAGTTTACAAAATTGCTTCAAGTTTCAAAAATTTAAGTTTAGTTATAAGATTGTAATTAAGGTTCTATTACATGTGTTCTGCATTTCAAGTTTACAATTGTAATTAAATTATATCTTGAGTCAATTTGTAAATTATAATTCAAGTTTAATTATTCTAATATATATAATTGAGCTCATAGAATTGATTTATTACAAATTTGTATATAATAGAAATGTGTACCAAAAACGATCTTTAAAGGAAAAAAGAAAAAATTCAAGTAAAGGAAGTTAAAAAAATTTTTTTTAATCATCTATCATTTTTGGGTTTAATTCCAATTTTGACCTAAAATAGAGTACTTTGAGTTTAATTTTGAATTTTAATTCTGAATTAACACCCTCACCCCCCCCTCGCGCCCGCCATATACACGATCACAAAATAAAAGAAAAATGGATGAATGATTTGAAATTCTTTTAGAAAGGAAGTGTTTACAACTAAAAATAAATTGTGTCTTTTGTAGTCAACTTACTATAAATGGCTATAAACTATTGAAAGCCTAGAAAAAATTTTTTTAAATTTTTTAAAAGATTTTATAATTAAAGTTAATGAAAATAGTTTTCATAGATTATAGAATCTTGTGATTTTGAATTTATTTATATATAGTGGCCGTTTTTTTAGTTTTTTAAATTAAGTTTTTTGTAAATATTTTTTATTTTTATTTCGAATCATTTGTTAGTGTATTTTCTAAAGGATCCCAGCATTTTAGAATTTTTGGGTAGGTATTCAGGGAGTTCTGATCGAAAATGTCAAAATTTTCGAAACCTCTAAAAATTCAATCTAAAAAACGGCCACTAATTATGAACCGACCTAATAATAAGTAAATAAATTAATATTTTATGTATGGGATAAATAGGAAAAATATTTTTCTAACCTAGGTAAAGAGAAACGTAGGAGAAAGATATTGATATAAATCAGTTCAGGTAGGCATTTAAAATAATTTTTTAGTTCCTGATATTTAATTAAAATTGAAAACATTTAAAGTATTAAATTTTAATAATTTTAATTTTATTTAAAAATAAAGACTAAATAAAATTCACCATTTAAAGAATAAAAATTTTTAAAAATATCTGTTTTTGTGGAACCATTTTAATTTTTGTTCCAAACTACAGGATACAAATAAACAAAAATAAATGCAAAAATCATGTTTATTTGTCCAAAAACAAGTTAAATAACCAATTAATTTATAAATTTAATTAAACGCCCAAAAAGGGAAATAATTATTTTTGGAACTCGTTGATGCGCGAAAATTAATTTTTAATTTTATTTCGTAAGAATGTTTGAACTGAAAAGGAGAGGAAAAGTTGTAGTTGATTTATTGTAGACTACAAACTTGAAATTATTTTTGAGGGTATAAAAAGAGAGCCAAGTTTTACAATTTAATCAAACTTATTCTTTAAACATTCTTCTTTAAATAAAATAAAACTTCAAGTTTACAACTTTAAATTTACAACTTCAAATTTACAATTCTAAAAAGCAGCCTATTCAAAAAAATAAACTTATTACAAAAAATAAACTTTATTCTCAATTAAATACAACAAATTGTAAAACAAGTTTTACAATTATTCACAACTTATTCTTAAAAGCATTTTCTTCAAGTTTAACAAGTCTAATAAACTTGAGCAAAAAATAAACTTTTTCTTTTACAATTGTAAAACAAAAATATTAAAATGTCTACTTTTACAATTACAACATTTCTTCGCCCAACAACAATGCTGTTTTTAATGTTAGTATTAATTCAAGTTTGTGAGCATTCTTCTGTGCAAGCCCAATATGTTGATAGATTTACAAGTGGAACTATTTTAAATAATTTGTGGAGGAAAAGGAGAGATTTAACTAAAATTACAAATAAAAATAAAATTAGAACAGATGAGGAGGATAATGAGAATTTTTTGAATTCAAAACAAGCAAATAAACGCTGGGCAGATTTTTATACTTCTGGAACTATTTTAAATAATTTGTGGAGAAAGAAGCGAATGAGTGAAAGACAGCAATACTTAACACATCCAACATTGGATATTGAAAATTCTGAAATTAATTCTGATATAATTCCGAGATTTAAAAGACAACTATTTTATGTTGATGGATTAACCAGTGGATCTATTTTAAATAATTTGTGGGGAAGAAAGAAATAAATTGGAAGAAGGAGAGATGATTTTTTGAAAATATTTTTAAAAAATTTATTTATTTTTCTATCTGAAATATTTACTATGTAAATTGAAAATAAATTTTATAATTATTCAATTTTATTCAATTAGTGTTGGGATATTTAAAACGAGAAGCTTTTACGAACTGTCTCTTTCAGGACTTATTTAGCTTATTATTTACTGAAAGAGAATTGTTTGGTGGATACAAAATCAGAATAAAATTATTTAAAAATTTGAAAGAGATTTTGGCTCTTGTCCAGTTTATGCGTCCCATGAAAGTATATGCGTCCCATCAACAAAAAATTGGATATTTCTTGGTGTTGCAAAGTAGGAGTATGGTTCCAAAGCATTTCTTCATGTTCGGGATCTACGTCCACTGGGTCTGGGACCGTTCCTTACCCTATACCTCGAAATTTCTGAAAGTTAAAATCGTTTTTCTGAAATTTTTAAAAATTGGCTATAACTCATAGAAATTTCGAGGTATAGGGTAAGGAACGGTCCCAGACCCAGTGAACGTAGATCCCGAACATGAAGAAATGCTTTGGAACCATACTCCTACTTTGCAACACCAAGAAATATCCAATTTTTTGTTGATGGGACGAATATACTTTCATGGGACGCATAAACTGGACAAGAGCCGAGATTTTTTGGCGGTTTTTAGGTTTTGATCTACCGTCTCGGTCTCGGGCCAAATTCTCTCTCAATCTCAGTTCTCGAATTCGGTAAATTTTTATTTCCGAGCCTCACTATGTTTATCACCTATTTTAGAAAAAAAATTTGCTGTACTAAATGGTTAAAATTTTAATTTATAGAAAAAAATATTTATTGAAAAGTTTTCATTTTTTATGAATTTTCTTTTTTAAATATTCGCTCAATAATTCTCAAAAAATTCTATTATTCTTCCCTCCTTATCCAATTAAAATTCATATATTCCATCTATCACCGGATCAATCGTGGCAGCAATAGCCAAATTTGTATATTTTTCGGTGTAAATTGTTCCCAAACCATCTTCAATATCGTTTACCTCTGATTTTGATATATAGATTGTTAAACGCTGTCTCAAACTTTTCAATACTTTTTTCTCCAACTCTGAAATTTTCTTGAACATTTTAAACACACATCTTTCCTCTTTTGCTTTTTTAATTTGAACGTAAAATTGAAGACAACCAATACGAAGATCATGTGCAAGAATAATAAAATAATTGCCTGGATTTTCAAATTTTATACAAATTTCAATGTGAGAATATTCCATTTTCTCTTCATGCTTTTTGCCTTTTAATGTTATTGAATCAAAAATATTAGCTTTGCTAAAATTTTCTCTTTTCAAAAATTTTCTAGGCCCTTCCGGATTTAAAAAACATATTAATCTTGTTAATTTTTTTGATAAATTCCATAAAAATGATTTAATTCCGTTTATACTTATTTGAGCACCGGGAAAAATAGCAGCTTTTTCTACATTCTCATTTGAAAGTTTATTTATCTCCAAATCAATTTGTGAAAAAAATGTAGGTACCAATTTGATCAATAACTTCTGAAAATGAAATATATTCAGATAATGTACAAGAATTGTGTGTAAATTATTTAAAATGGGAGATAGGGCTATCTAATCCAAAATTAAAATTAATAACACTATAATTAAGTGTTATTTGAGTGTTTAACCCTTACACAATAAATGAGCGGTTAATTTTTTTCATTTGCAAAATAAATTATTATGAACGCATTTTACAGCGTGACAAAAAAGTTCGGAGTGAAGTATTTATTTACATAACTTCAATCAAAAGTATTCTACGGAAGCTGTAGTATAGTATACCGGTGGAAAGGTTTCGATATAATACCCATATTATTCGATTCGTTTTGGTAAGCTGAGCGAACGGTACCACTCTTTTTTACGGAGATGAAAAAAAGAGTGGTACAGACTCGGACAGACTAAACACGGACGATGTTATGTGTCTTGTCCGTCCGTGTTTTGTCTGTCCGAGTCCGTCCGTGTTTTATTTGTCCGTGTCTATCCGTCTCTTTTTTCATTTCCATTTTCTTCATTTTACCTTTCCATTTTTCCTTTCCTTACATTTAATGAAAAAACGATTCCGCCCTTCTTTTGGGATAGGGCCGAAAAATTCGAATATACAAAAGATAAATCATTTGAAATAGCTCGACGAGCTGAGTTAAATGACACCAGCTCGATCCGATGATTCTAAAAAAATTATGAACAACTAACTTTCGCTTGAATAACTGTAGGTGTTGCTACTGAAGATAGGTCGGCATTCAAAGCTGAGAATCAGTAAAAAGGAATAGGATTAAGGTCCTCATTTGCGTATAGGGTCGGATTAATTTACGAGCCCATAACCCAGCGATCGTAGACTCCTTGCGAGACGCGTGCCGCAACAAGCGCCTCGCCGACGCCCCATAGATTTTCGCACCATTTTGAGCCTCTTTATCTTGGCTCATAGATAATGCAATCAAAACCCGCTTAATCTTTTAATCCCTCGATATCATCTTAATCATCTGATTTACTCGATATCTTTTTAATCTACCAAAATCCACCTTCTCTTCAATCTCAGAAATTTCATTATATTCTATCAAGCAAATATTTAATTTTTTCAATTTTATAACATATTCAACACCCTCAAACAAAATTAATTTTTTCCCATTAGTTCCATTAATTATTCTTTTTATTTTGTGTGCATTTTGATCAGGTTCATTACAATCATAAAGAGGCCCGAAACTTATATAAACGTAATCATTTTTATTATTTTCATCAATTTCGTATAAAATTTCAATTTTATACTCGTTAAATACTTCATCAATTTTATTTACTTGCATTTTCAACAAATTTATTTTAACACTTCCATCCTCGTTTTTATTATTTTCTGTAGATTCAACCAAAATTCGTTGATTATTTTGTAAATTTTCAGAAGAATGAGAAAATAATAAAATAAATAAAAGGACAAAACATTTAATATTATTCTTCATTAAAACTTTTAAATAAAATTATTTTTAGATTTAAGACTGATTTAGACTGTTTTTATATACAAATTATTGTCTGGCATTTAAGATTAAATATTGAGAAACAGTTTCCTTCATATGATTAATTCATGTGAATAGTACATTAAAGTTAATTAAGAAATATTTTAAAGGTCTGACATCCTGTATATAGTGCACATTTTTGTACTTTTTGTTTAAAAACGTTTTTTGTTATTCATTTAAAATATTATTTTGCACTTTTAGTCGGTATTTCTTTTAAAATTATTGAGAAATACTTGTTTATTTATTTATTTTAAATCATTTATTAGCAATTAAAGTGCAATAATAGAATAACATGTCACTCTCACCAATAACTCACTCTTAACTTATAACACATTCATTCAAAAGACTTAATCTGTTCCAAAATTATAAAGTCACCCTATTTTTTTATCATATCATATTTTTAAAAACGTCTACCCCCGGTTTTCCGTTGATTTTCGGGTTTCAAGATCTCGATGTTGGATCATAACTTTAGTATTTTTTATCTATATTGATAAATATTTTCACAAAAATTTCTGTGGATTTTTCCCACTATTATAAACCTATTAAACAGAGGTAGTACAAATTTTGTTCTTTAAGGAAACTATGGGATTAAGGAAACAATGGGATATTTGAGTATTAGGGGGATTTGATGAGATATTTGGGTAGGGTAAATTGAAGTAAATCGATAAGGTAAATCGACTAATTAATGACTCCAACTCCTCAGTTATCCTTCTTTATCATTATCACTGTTAATCCCTTCAATACACTCTTAATTATTTCAAGCCCTCGTACATTTATAAATTTACTTTGGCACTTCTTGAATGCTTAGAAAATCGGGAATTTAATTTTTATGTCGGCTATACCCCTATACATACTACTTATTTACTATTTTTGACAAAATTTTGAGAAAAATTTTCTTTCAAAATTTGTCGGTCTTATTTTAAAATTATTAAGAAATAAAATAATTGTCTATTAAAATTTAACATTTATTGCCCTTAAAGTGCAATTATGAAATATAATTTTTATTGGCAAATCAATTTTTCATTCACAAATTTTTATAAAACGCTGTTGACTCTATTAAATAAAATTTTAAATAAATTTTTTTGAAAAATGTTTTTAATTAAATTTTTATTTATTTCTAAAATATTATTTTTAATATTTTTTGATTATTCTTTTTCTGATTATAAAAATAATCAACGAATTTTGGTTGAATCTACAGAAAATAATAAAAACGAGGATGGAAGTGTTAAAATAAATTTGTTGAGAATGGAAGTAAATAAACTTGAAGAAGAATATAAAATTGAAATTTTATACGAAATTGATGAAAAATATGAAAAAGATTACGTTTTTACAAGTTATAATTAAAATGACTGTAGTTTTATTGACGAAAATTCAAATAATGTAAAAAGTATATTTAATGGAAATAAAAGTAAAAAAATAATTTTGATTGAGGATTTCTTTTGGGATTTAGACATAACAAAAATAAATATTTGTCTAGTTCAATTTAATGATGATTCTTATAAAACGGTAAAGGCTGTATAATTGATTTATTTTAGACATTAATTCTTAAAATTTTTCAATAATTAAAAGTGACAATGATTTTTTCAATATTTCTAAAATTTTTGCAGAAAAAAGTGGGCAAGTATTAAAAAAATAATTATTTGAGAGAGGGTAATTATTCGAGCATATACAGTACTTGATTTTAATTTTTGAATCTGTGCGGAAAATGCGTGGCACAAATTCTCGTTAGTTCAATAGAGTTATTCAATAGAGTTATTATATTCCACATTTGAAATTGTTGACGGATATATAATATCTTCAGAAGACAAATGCACCTACCCAGATTACTCACTACCCAATAAACCTCACTGCCTAAATCACTAACTGCCCATTTAACCACTGCCTACGTCACTTCTGTCGTAACCACACACACCACCATCCAACCCGATGATGGATTGTTTATTTTCATTTATAGTATTATTTCTGCAAGTGCGAACACAACAATTACCTTTGCTGACAGGTAAATAGCGAGCTAGACATTTACCCAAGATAGCAATAATATTGTTTTTAAGAAGATTCCACGCAAAGATCCGTTAACTTTCCGAGGCTGTCTTACATATTTTAGAGCGTATAAATATTTAGTGTAAATCAATTCTAGGTCCTACTTTTTATCATTTTTAGTTATTATTATTTGCTTTGTTTCCCATGTTTTTTGCGCAAATAAATTTGGAGGTAAAAAAACTGACAGATGGAAGTAGAGCAAATGCAGATGGTTACTATGATGTTGAAATCAGCATAAACGGAGTAGAAGCAATTCTTCATACAGTAGATAAAAACAAATATATATTGACAAGATTAATATGTTTTTTGAATCCGGAAGGGCCTAGAAAAATTTTAAAAAGAGAAAATTTTAGCAAAGCTAATTTGATTGAGCCAACTTCATTAAAAGGCAAAAAACATGAAGAGAAAATGGAATATTCTCACATTGAAATTTGTTTGAAATTTGAAAATCCTGGAAATTACTTTATTATTGTCTATGCTGATTTTAACGTTGGATGGCTTGAATTCTATGTTAAAATTAAAAAAGCAAACGAGGAAAGATGTGTGTTCAAAATGTTCAAGAAAATTTCTGATTTTGATAAAATATTATTGGAAAGTTTGAGACATTCCATAGAAATTTATATATTAAAAACAGAGGTAGATGATATTGAAGATGGTCAAATGAATGTATATTATGAAGGTTTTAAAAACAAATATCCTAAAATGTCATTTGTTGCCGAAATTACTCCATTGATTAAAGAAGGAAGTTATGAATTTTATTTGGACGAGGATGGAATAACAAAAGAAAAAGTAGATTTATAAAAAGAAAATCAAAAAAGTGAGAAGACATTTGAATTTAATGTTATGAGGTGAACTACGATGAAATAGACTTTTCTTCCTTCCATTGACGAACTAATAGGGAACGTATTTCCATGTGGTAGCTTAATAACTTTCTTCTCCAGCACTCAACCGTCCTCTAAGTTTTGTGAATTGCGCGGGGGCGTTTTGTATTTTTCCCTTTCCTTTTTACTATTTAAACCACATTTTTGTCATTTTTGCTCATCCTTAATAAATTTGCATTTTGTTTTGTTTTTTCTTGCGCGCGTCTTCTCCTTACTATTTTGACATTCCATTTCTCCCAACCTTTTTGTTTACATTTTCTTTCCACATGGCATTGAGTTGTTTATCCTTTCCCCATTTCTAATAATTTTCGTTTACTGTTCCCCATTTACTATAACGGACTGTTGTTATTATATATATCCATTACTTTTTCCTCGTTTTCAAATCCTCTTTCTTCTTTTATATTTCGCTTTTCTCCTTTTTAAGTTTGTGTTATTGTACGGCAATGGGTGATCCAACTTGCTAGCATTTAATATGCTTATTAGGCGGGTGTTTAAATTATTTTTTTGTGTTATAGTCCCATCCTTGCTTCTTCCAAATTCTGTTTGTTTTATATTTTATTATTTTTTGCATTTCTTTTCCCCTTTTCCCAAAACTGCCCTTATAGTCAATCTTTGTTTTTGTTTTTTGCTTCTAGTCTTCCTTTCTTCCACTCAATTCAATTTCGCACCTGCATCTTTTATGGCATCAACTTCTTACTTCTTTTCCACCCGTTCTCTTTCCAAAATTCACTCTGCTTCCCAGTCCACAATCACTTCGAAAATTTCCATCTCTCCAAAATATTTCAATATAATTTTATTAATGGTTCTTCTCCAATATTTAATCTTGATCATGATGATTACTTCCATTTTTTAAATATGAAGATGCTCAACCCGCATTTTGTAAAAACTTTTTAAATAAATTTGGGGGATAACAAAGGCAATTAAAAAAACAACAATAACAATAGGCCCAAGAAAATAGCAAAAAATTAGATAGGATTTTAGCCCTGGGATTTTTGAAAAATTCTTTCGCATCATTTCTGGGGAGGGGGTTACATTAAAATTACTTTAGTCAGTCACCAATTAAAAAATAAAATCTAATCTGTTAAAATACATTTTTTTAATCACATTACGAAATTTCTCTCTTCCTTTTCTCCCTTAAGCCTTATCATCATTTGCCTTCTTCTGTTTGTTCCATTCATTTCTCTCGTCTTTTCCTAACATCTTCAAAAATCTTGCGTGTTGTCCCGAGTTCTTAATACTAAGTCCCACTCAAGCCACTCAATCGTTCCATTTTTTCCGCCTTTAATTTAAATCTAGTTTTAACGTCCCTGTAAATTCCCTCCATCTTATTCTTGTATTCCCTCTCTTGCTTGTGCATTTTCGGATGGCAAATGGGTTTGCTCGATTTCCAAATTTATTGACGTATTATAGGCAAATGCTAGTAAGGGGAGTGCTTGGGCCCAATCTTTGCCCCGTGTAGTTGTACTAATAATATCAGCGAGTGTTCGATTGTACCGCTCGCATTGACCATTTGCGGGCTGATGATAAGGGGTGGTAGTTTGCAGTTTTATCCCAAATAATTCAGCTACTTCCTTGAATACTGTGCTCATAATTTTAGTCCCCTGATCTGACACAATCCCTCCGGCACCCCAAATTTGGTTATAATGGGACTTATTAGGACATCTGTCACTGTTCCCGCCAGTTGGTTACGTAGGAGGATAGGGTATATCCATTTATATATCCATTTCGAAATTTTAATTTCCAAATTTTATTTTAAAAATTTTCCACACGCACTTTTCTCGATTAAAACATATTAATAAATAATTTCGATTTTAAAATGTTTAATAAAATAAATATTTAATGAGTGAATATAAAATAGCTAGAGCGCGGACGGTATTTTTCGAAAGATATCGAAAAATATAAAAAAGTCGAAATTTACTAGGTCGTTATTTTTCGATTGATATTGAAAAATATCGAAAAATATCGTATTGGCCTGGCTCTTAAAATAGCCACTTCTCCTCTCTGAAAATAATTTTTATTAAAACTTAAGTCCCAGTTTAATTAATAAAAATTATTAAAATTTCATCATATTAAGTAATTTTTAAATTTTATTTTCTAAATTTTATTTTAATAGTTTCACACGCACTTTTACTCAATTAAAAACATGTATAATAAGTAATTTTCAAATTTTATTTTCTAAATTTTATTTTAAAAATGTTTCACACGCACTTTTACTCGATTAAAATCATATGTACATATAATAAATAATTTAATTTTAAAATAGTTATAAAATAATTATTTAATGTCTTCTTTTATTTTTAAAACCGTTTTAAATTTTTATTTACTATTATTTTTAAATTAAAAATAATGTATTGTAGCGTTATTGTTCACGGTTTTATCTCTTCTCAAGACTCACCTATTTGAAACCGATGGATTAATATTTTGTCTACCGTATTTCTTATAATAGTGCGACCGGGCGGGTTATTTCTCAACCATCCTTTACGGGGTCGGTTTATTAGAAGGTGTCGGTCTAATAGAGGGAGTCACACTATTAGAAGAAATACGGTATTTGTTCAGAGTTTACGCTAAATTCTACATTTGGAACTTCGAACATTTGTCCTATATTTTTCCTCACGTTTTTAACTTTGTATAAAAAGCAAGGCGTGGTGGTCACTTTTGAAATTCTTGACTTATAGATTCAATAATTCTTTGTGAAATGTCGATATCTGTTTAAATTACATTTCAAAATTCTAGTAATTTATTAATAGAATAGGTAGGGATCAGGATCCCAGTCGGGGTCTCGTGGAATCATGTTATGTCGAAAATAAACTTTCTCTTAATGACATGATTCTTTTGAGCACAATGTTAAACTTTTTCGATTTCGACTAATAATTAAGAAATTTTATAATTTCTAATTTAGACAAATAAATTTTTAAAATTTAATATTTAAATTTTAATTAGAATGCAATTATTAATTAATTTATTATTAATTGTTTCAAATTTTATATTAGTGGACAATAATGAGAATAATAATATAATTATTATTAAAATTGAATGGCGAAAATATTCTGATAGTTTGACTAATAATTTATTAAATAAACTAAATCAAATGAAGAATAATCGTTTTAAAATTAATTTAATTGTAAAATATAAAAAAGATGATAATAAATATGAAAGTGTCTATTTTAGAAAAATAACTGAAAAATATGATATTTGTAAATTTGGGGAAGCTGACCTAGTAAGAATGGATTTACAAAACTTAAATTATATCATTGAAGTTCGTGTAGACAATGAGGTAAAATACATACAACTGAAATAATACCTTTAGACAGGGTAGCAACTCGTCCCCCGAAACCCCAACCCTCCGACGAATTTGGGCAAAAACCCAGACCCGAAATCCGAAGGCTCTACTCCAACAAAAAAACCCCAACCCGAACACCAAAGGCTTCCAGGGGCCCAAACCAGTGCGTCCAAAACCCCGACTTACGAAACACAGACCCACGAAACCCCGACTGTTTTTTGGATAAACCCCGACTAGAAACACGAAGGCTCTACCCCAGCAAACCCCTAAACCCGACGCTTCAAGGCTCGGGGTGCTGCCCTACTTAAGACAATATTTAAAAAATTCTTATTTTCAAATTTATTATTTAAAGCCAATAATTAACCCTGTTAATGGAAGTGGAATTAATAAAGTAATTATAATTCCATTAAACTTTTTTGAAAGGCCAATTCAAACAGATAATCAGACAATAAAAATCAGACAATAAATTTTATCCAAATTTAAAAATGTTTATTAAATGTCGGGAAAGGCAGTTAAATTTACCATTAGAAGAACATTCAGAGTTTTATTCAACTGAACATTATGACTTTAATGTCTGCCGTAATGATAAATATTTTATATTTGTTGAGAATAATAATTTAGAAATTGTATGATTTTTATAACATAATATAGAAAATTGTAAAATAGCAGATTAACCATACAATTGAGATATATAGTTAATAGCAGGGGTCTAGACACTAGTTTCGAAATTACCGAGACCGGGCATTAAAAAAAAGGAATTTCCATTATCCGAAATCGTTAATTTATTTAGTTCAGGTAAATTTAAAAAATAATAAATTAAAAACAAATTATACATATATGTATTTCTAAATCTCGATATAAATATATTGAAGAGTTTAAGGTAGCAGGTTAACAGTTCTTATCCGTTCCCCAATAAAAATATAAACTTGATCCGAAAAATTTATTTGAATTTAATATAAATATGAATGAACAACAACTTAAAAGTTGAGTAAAAAAGGACTAATTGAGGGGAGGACATAAATTTAATCCCACTAAAGGGCTGTGATTAAAATATATTATAGAATCACAGGATATTTATTCAAATTTTTAATTCACTACAAGTTAAATAGATTTGTTGATAATTTCAATGTTAAAGGATATAGACTAAATTCTGGTTGGGATTTAACATTCAATACGTTTACAATATTAGTGACTGACTAATTTAAGTTCAAATTTTATAAGTTTATTTGAATCTTTAGCCGTCCAAAATTGAACTTGAATGCGATGAAGCAATATATGAAAATATGATAGAGAATGTCTATTTAATTAATGTAGCAAATATTAATGGAAATAAGAATCCAAGACGGACAACCAAATTAATTGGAAATTGTGAACTTAAAATAAATAATAATCCAACACAATTTATGGGAGAAAAAACTCTCGACCAGATAATGAATGAAAGGGGAAAAGTTAAGGAAATTGGACATCAATCAAATGAAATCTTAAATGTTGCAACAAACCTCTTACAAAATTCTAAAGATGAAATACTCGAATCACAAGAATTTACTAATGAAATATATAAAAAAATAAATTTGCCTGAATCTGGGTTAAATAAAATAAATGAAATTGATGAATATTTAAAAGAAGTTAAAAATAAAAATGAACGTTTGGCAAAACTTCAAATAAAATTATTGGCTTTAATTAACGTAATAACAAAAGAGTGAAAATTTTTTAATATAAGGGAAGTTTTATGAATAATTTAAATGTTGAATTAAACGGATTGCAAAAATTTTTTTGTCTTTTCAGGGGTGAGTAGAATAATACTATTGGGGTTTGTTAGCTTTTTTCAAATAGATCTATGGTATCAAATTGCAGAACCTGTACCGATTACTTTTTCATTGAAATCGTATATTTGTAAATGGCGCGTAATTTGGACAAGACTAGTGTTTGGCACAGTTCGGTACTACCACAGTACTACTAATAGTAACGACTGATACTTTACACTCTGTTAACTAATTATACGCACCCCATATTTTTTTGGTTTTTCAAACTGAAATTGAAATGTGGCTTTCTAGTTTTTAGTGTATTAAATCTACAAGTTAAAAGCCATCTAATATCTCAAAAATTTTAAATTTAGGAATTTTCTTTCCAGACTTATGGACATTTTTTCCGATAATTAGTGTTAACTAATTATACGCACCTCCCTCTAGAATTTTTATTTATCAATAGAAAAAGACATAAAAATTTATCAGAACATAACTATCAATATAGATAGGAAATACAAAAGAAACGAAGTTCTAATTTTATTCCTTCAGCGAGATATCGAAACTCGAAAATCAACGGAAAACCAGGGTAAATGTCTTTAAAAAATATTTTCGACCCCTTATAGGCTGTATTAAATTTTAATTTTATACTTTTCTGAAAGCCCTTTAAATTTGCTATAAGAACCTCTAATATTATTAAATCAAAAAATTTTACATGGGAGTTATTCAGAGTTAAATTCACTGAACATCATAATCATAAAATTTACCCTTAAAACTGGCTTTTTTACACCTTTATGATTCCATCCAGTACAACTTAATGAAAAAAAATTTCTGAAAAATGAAAATTGGTGGTTTTATAGCAAATTTAAAGGTCTTTCAGAAAAGTATAAAATTAAAATTTAATACAGCCTATAAGGGGTCGAAAATATTTTTTAAAGACATTTACCCCCGTTTTACGTTGATTTTTGAGTTTCGATATCTCGCTGAAGGAATCAAATTAGAACTTCGTTTCTTTTGTATTTCCTATCTATATTGATAGTTATGTTCTGATAAATTTTTATGTCTTTTTCTATTGATAAATAAAAATTCTAGAGGGAGGTGCGTATAATTAGTTAACACTAATTATCGGAAAAAATGTCCATAAGTCTGGAAAGAAAATTCCTAAATTTAAAATTTTTGAGATATTAGATGGCTTTTAACTTGTAGATTTAATACACTAAAAACTAGAAAGCCACATTTCAATTTCAGTTTGAAAAACCAAAAAAATATGGGGTGCGTACAATTAGTTAACAGAGTGTACTACTGGATTGGTATTAAAATACTCCATTTGTCGACCACTAGAAAAGACAAATATTTTTTTAAATTTAATTCACTAAATTGTAATAATTTTATTTTTTTATTAAAATGTATTAAAGATATAACATTTATTAATAATCTATGTAATACAATAAATATTATGTAGAATAAAGTTTTTACTTTTTAATTTTTTTATGTTGTACTTTTTTGATACTTCTTTACTATTATACTTTTTTTTATTAAAATAATTAATAAAAGTTTAAAAATAAGTTACTATGCATTTATAGTTTTTGCGCAAATTTTTTCGTCAAAGTTTTTTTCAAAGTGTTGTGTATTCGTATTTATAATTTTAATTAATATTTATTTAACTTTGACCTTTTCCCAATATCCAAATATTTCTTCCCCTAAACCATTTTCCCATTTTTTATCATTCCTTTCTTCATGTTTGTTTGGCATTCCCCTTTATAATATTCAAAAATCACTTTTTACCTAACCCCCATTTTTCGTATATTTAAATAACTGTTAATCATACTTATATTTCCAATTCCCATTCCCGCCTCATTGTCTGATTTGTCTGGCAATAAAAAAGCACAATGAATAATAATAAAAAAATGGTTATGGGTCTTTTGTCTGAGGGTCTTCTTTCTTTGGGTCATCTGGCAGTGGAAAAATTTACTCGGAGGAAATCTTATTATATCTCAGTTGTAAAGATTTTTATTCAACTTTCATTTAAGGATATTTCTGAGAATTCAAAGAAGATCCTCGTAAAATAATTTAAAAAAAAAGCTGACAATTTCAACTGTTCATTGAATGGAAAAATTATTAATAAGCTTGAAAAGGTAATTAAAAATATTCAATAAACGTCAAAATTTTTCTTTCATTGTAAAAATGGATTTAAAAACCCTATTCCTTTATATTTACATAATAAAAATTCAAATGAAAATATTATTATTTGTGTAGAAGGTTATTTTTTATATTAGTTGCAAAGTTTCCCGGTTTTATTTAATGTTAAAAAGCTCAGGTTGTAACACCGAAGATGAAAAAATTATTTTACAACTACTAGCAATTATTACAAGTAAAGATGACATTGAAACTGTTTATTATTAATTAAATATTATTTAATTGCTGTTTTGAATCTGCCAACATTATATAACTTATATTCAATCCAAAACGATCGAATTATTATTTGACAATACTAAAAAATTCAATATTGAAATATGTCAACTACTTGTTAATGTAATATTATTGAATTTATATTTCATTATATTTTAAATAATTTAGTTAGTGAAGACCTTACAATTAATTTTTTTAATGATACATTATGGAAAAACATTGAGATAATTTATTAATATTTTAATAAATGGAAGAAACAAATTTCAAGTAGTTCATTCGATCTTTTTGGGTGTTTAATTTTTCATTGTGATAATATTGTTGAAGTATGTTATTTACAAAGTTACAAATTTTTCATTAATCTAAATTTTTATAAAACCATGAATATTAAATTTTGGAAAAAGCAAAAAATTTTGAAATTAAGCAATTTCTGGGCAAAAAATACATATTATCACATTATTAATATTTACAATCCAATAGTGAAATTTTTATTTTGCAGTGAGAACAGGATTTTTTCGACTTTTGCTATTAGAATCAAAATTGTAGAAGAAAAGTAGAAGTTTTTGATTCATCGGACGAAGAAGAAAATATCTTATTTTTAATTTATATTTCTATTTAACTATTTTAATTTATAGTTTAATTTATAGTTAATTTAAAATTCACGAAATCGAGAATTTTGTTTTTATGTCGGTGCGATCCCTGGTGTGGACTATGAATCCGGGTGAGTAGATCTCTTCTATTCACATAATATTTATTTTGATCCTATTATAACTAGAAGTAACGGTATAATCTTTCATAGGTTAACTATATAACTCTGGCAATCTAACTCAGGCATAGAGTTATTTCAATTATTTAAGACTTTCAAATGTTGTCTACTTTCAACAAAATTAACTTTCAACGATTTTAATTTGAACACTTTTACTTTTTATGAGAGGAGAAAGAATGAAGGAGAACTAATAAAATGTCACATTATTTTATCAACCAAAATTAATCTTTTTTCATTTAAAAGATAAAAATTGATTAACAAAAATTTCTCTCAAAAATTTCATTTGGTAGTCAATAAATTTCAATTTCTTTCTATTTAATAAATACTTAGAAAATTATTACAAATCTTAATTAAAATAAAAATAAATTTAAAATGCAACAAGAATTATGTGATGAGTATGTCAAACAATTCCCTTTAACTATGAGGATTGAAAGGTTGCTGAGACAGTTTGAGAGTGGACATCATGCAGTGTCTGTTGTCGAGGGAATCACTTCTGATTTAATCGGATGTGGTGAATCCACTAAAGTAAATTTGAAAAAATATTTTTATATTATCAAAAAAGATGACATTCTTAACACAAGATCAATTTAAACGAACAGAGAAAGGATTGATTGTACTTATTTATTCAATGATTTGTCAATTTTTTCCAGAAATAGCGCTGATTGAAAATGCTACACGGATGAAATTTCTTCAAAGGTTCTACGACCAGTTTGTTCCAATTTACCGTGCCGAAATGACTGTAGGAATATTTATATTTTCAGCCATCCATATAAGATCTCGCGGGCATCTTTAGGGTGTAAAACTTTGGCTCCGGCTCCGGCCATTTTAAAACCATGCCTCCAGATTTTCAAAATTTTGGAACAGGCTTGATCGGAGCTGGGACCATATCCAGCACTGAATATTATAATAGAATATCAATTAAACTGGATTAAACTGGGGGATATCAATTAAACTGTCCAACATAATGAAGTGTGGAATAGTGTATATAAATATAAAATAATTTTTATAATTTAAGGTTAGGAAGTTTTCTGATCCAGAATTGTCATATGCAATAGTATTACCAGGCGGATGTGTTGATCTAAATAATTTGGAGGAAGTTATTGATATAAAAAATTTAGAACATAGGAGACAGTAAAAGATATTTAATTCCATAACTTAAAGTATTTTCAGAATTTCTTCGGCTTTTTGTATTCGTATATCTAATTTTATGAATAAAAAATATAGACCTTTGAATATATCCAGACTAGAATTTGCTTCCATAGTTGGTCTATTATTTTGGAATTGCGGTAATTATTTTAATTAAATATAAAAATAATAGTTCTAGGTTCCCCTTTCTACATTTGCGCCAACCAGAGGTGAATTTTAGGCTGATTTACAATTTCTGAGTTCCGATTTTTGAGCCATTTCCGATTTTCGACGGTTCCGATTTCCGGCACCTTTGTCATTTTCGATTCACCACTGGCGCCAACCCCCATCATTTTATAATTTGATGGAAAATAAGGGGAAGGCAATTAGGAGTTGAATGCAGCAAAAATGATTTTTTAAGTATGCCTTTTACGGACGTGTACAGCGAGCGAATTTAAAAAATTAAATACAATTTTAATTAAATTTCAGTTGAACGAATCTTATCAGATTTTATTGAAGAAAAAATAATTTTATCAAATAGAGACCAACTATATGCAGAATTACATGCAATAATTGCCAAAAATAAATTAAATTGTTCAAATAATACTACTTTAAATAATTTTCCTTTTTCACCAATTTTTGCTGAGTCTTCTATTAGATTTGGACGCTTATTAGATCTTTTGAGTCACTTGACTGTATATTAAATAAATTTTATTTCGAATTTTACTTAATTTTTGATTAGATTTTTTCATGGGAAAGTGCTGAAGTATTTCAAATGGCCAAAATTTTTATGGATTTACCAGATTTATGGGATGAAATTAATTTGCCTAATAATACTAAATAAAATTTTACCTGTTTTGTTTTATTGTGTTTTATATAATAAAGTTGAAAATTTATTTAATAAAATGTTAATCTCCCATTTTAAATAATTTACACACAATTCTTGTACATTATCCGACTATATTTCATTTTCAGAATTTATTACTCAAATTGGTACCTATATTTTTTGCACAGATTGATTTGGAGATAAATAAAATTTCAAATGAGAGTATAGAAAAAGCTGCAAGTTATCCCGGTGCTCAAATAAACATAAACGGAATTAAATCATTTTTATTTAATCCATCAAAAATACTAACAAGATTAATATGTTTTTTGAATCCGGAAGGGCATAGAAAAGTTTTAAAAAAAGAAAATTTTAACAAAACTAAATTAATTGATTCAACTTCATTAAAAGGCAATAAAATTGAAGAAAAAATGGAATATTCTCACATTGAAATTTGTATTAAATTTGAAAAGCCGGGCAATTATTTTATTATTCTTGTACGTGATTTTTATTTTGGTCATCTTCAATTTTACGTTCAAATTAAAAAAGCAAAAGAGGAAAGATGTGTATTCAAAATGTTCAAGAAAATTTCTGATTTGGAGAAAAAAGTATTGAAAAGTTTGAGACAAAGTATACAATCCATATATCAAAATCAGAGGTAAACGATATTGAAGATGGGCAAATGGATGTATATTATAATGATAGTTTTGAAACAATTCTCACCAAAAAATATAAGAATTTGGCATTTGTTGCCACGATTGAACCGGTGATAGATGGAAGTTATGAATTTTAATTGGATGAGGAGGGAAGAAATTTTCGAGAATAATTGAGCGAATATTTAAATTTTTAAAAAAACAAATTCATAAAAAAATGTAAAACCTTTTTAATAAATATTATTTTAATATAAATTAAAATTTAAACCATAAAGTTCTCCCCCCGCAACATCTGACGATGGACGGGAGAGACAATTTATACCAAAAAAATATAAGAAAAGCTTTTTTGCGATAATCCGATTTGCGATAATTTTTAAAGCATATTTCCAACAAAAGATTTTTATAAAATTTTCGAAATTTTCGCCTGATGCGCTGAAAAAAAAATGTATCTGGCTTCTTGGACTTCCAAAATCTTAAAATTGTTTGGCCTGTTTGCCTTACAAACTACAAGGTAATTATTCGAACATATACGGTATTTACAATTTTACCGCTTTATAAGATCACCATTATATTGAATTAAGCAAATATTCTCCACTAAAATACAGTGAGACGCTGAAGTAATCAGACACTTTTATTTTATCATAACTTTTTTTTATTTTTTTTTTATTTCTAAATAATTTATACTGATTTTGTATTCCCTAAACAATTCTCTTTCATGACATAAACACTAGAATTTATATTATTTTACATTATTTTTCCAAAAGATTTTGTGATCAAAAATTTTAACTCTTCTCACAGCAAAGCACTATCCATGAGGAAATAGTGATATATTCAGTTAAAAAATAGGAACTGAAGAAATCGCATATCGGATCAAATTGGAAGCTTGATTTCATGAGAATATTTAAGTTTCCAAACACTAATTGAATAAAATTGAATAATTATGAAATTTATTTACAATTTACATAGTAAATATTGAAATTTTTGATATATAAAAATAAATAAAAATATTTTCAAAAAATCATCTCTCTCTTTTTCAATTTATTTCTTTCTTCCCCACAAATTATTTAAAATAGATCCACTGGTTAATCCATCAACATAAAATAGTTGTCTTTTAAATCTCGGAATTATATCAGAATTAATTTCAGAATTTTCAATATCCAATGTTGGATGTGTTAAGTATTGCTGTCTTTCACTCATTCGCTTCTTTCTCCACAAATTATTTAAAATAGTTCCAGAAGTATAAAAATCTGCCCAGCGTTTATTTGCTTGTTTTGAATTTGACAAATTCTCAGTATCCTCCTCATCTGTTCTAATTTTATTTTTATTTGTAATTTCTGTTAAATCTCTCCTTTTCCTCCACAAATTATTCAAAATTGTTCCACTAGTAAATCTATTAACATATTGGGCTTGCACAGAAGAATGCTCCCAAACTTGAATTAATAAAAACATTAAAAACATCATTGTTGTTTGGCGTAGAAATGTTGTAATTGTAAAAGTAGACATTTTGTAATTTTTGATTTACAATTTGTAAAAGAAAATGTTTATTTTTAGAGCAAGTTTGTTAGAATTGTAAAACTTGAAGAAAATGCTTTTAAGAATAAGTTGTGAATAATTGTAAAACTTGTTTTACAATTTGTAGGTTTTAATTGAGTATAAAGTTTATTTTTGTAATAAGTTTATTTATAAATAGGCTTATTTTTAGAATTGTAAATTTGAAATTGTAAAATTGAACCTTCGCCTTCGCCTTATTGTAATGCAAACTTAAAAATTAAATATAATTTTAATTAAATTTCAGTTGAGAGAATCTTATCAGATTTTATTGAAGATTTATGGGATGAGATTAATTTGCCTAATAATACTAAATAAATAAAATATTTTATGCTTTATTGTGTTTTATACAATAGAGTTGAAAATTTATTTTATATAATGTTCATTGTTGATAAAATGTTAAATCTTAGATAATATTTTTTGTTAGTTAATATTGATAATAAATTTTCAATAATAAAATATCACTGAATTATACAAAAAAATTTTAATTTTATTAATTGTGTTTGATTATTCCAAATTCCTTTTTATAGACAGTACTGTAGTCAGCGTTTTAAATATCAGATTAAAATCAGTGTTGGATAAGTCTAGATCGATATCGATATATCGGTCTCAAATATCGTTCATTTTCCAATATCGATATCGGTTTCATCCGTTATCGATCTCGAAACCGATACGAGAATCGACCGATATCGTTTTTATTAACGAATAATTTTTTCAGTGGACGTCTTGGTGTGTTTGATACACTCGAGTCAAAACAAGTAGTCTAATTAGCAAAAAGAATTCATCTACACTCTGTTCCAAAATTATAAGTCCACCCTGTTTTTTTATCATATCTTATTGAAAAAGTGTCGAAATTTTTTTGAAAATTTTACATAATTTATATTTTTCTATTTAAAATTTGTCTTAAAAAAATTTGTAGCAACTAAAAATTTCTATAAACAAATAATGAATTTAAAGTGTTCCATAATTATAAGGTTACCTTTGTTTTATATGTAGGTTTTTAAAATTGGGAAAAATCTACAAAAATTTTTGTGAAAATAAGTATCAAAAGAAATGAAGTTCATACAAAAGAGATGAAGTTCTGATATACTCCCATCATCGAGATCATGAAACTCGAAAATCAACCGAAAACCGTAGGTAAACGTTTTTAAAAATAAGATATGATAAAAAAATAGGGGGACTTTGGAACAGAGATAATTTTGGAACAGAGTATATCTTATGAATGAATGTGTTATGAGTTATGAGTGAGAGCGACATGTATTATGAGCTATGAGTGTGTTATGAGTGAGAGTGACATGTTATTCTATTATTGCACTTTAATAGCTAAGTAAATAATTTAAAAATAAATAAATAAACAATTATTTCTCAATAATTTTAAAAGAAATACCGACTAAAAGTGCAAAATACTTTTTTATATAAATAAACACAAAATACGTTTTTAAACAAAAAGTACAAAAATGTGCACTATATACAGGATGTCATACCTTTTAAATATTTCATAATTAATTTTAATGTACTATTCACATGAATTAATCTTATGAAGGAAACTATTTCTCAATATTTAATCTTAAATGCCAGACAATAAAAATTTGTATATAAAAACAGTCTAAATCAGTCTTAAATTTAAAAATAATTTTATTTAAAAGTTTTAATGAAGAATAAAATTAAATGTTTTATCCTTTTATTTATTTTATTATCTTCTTTTTCTTCTGAAAATTTACAAAATAATCAACGAATTTTGGTTGAATCTACAGAAAATAATAAAAATGAGGATGGAAGTGTTAAAATAAATTTGTTGAGAATGGAAGTAAATAAAATTGATGAAGTATTTAACGAGTATAAAATTGAAATTTTATACGAGATTGATGAAAAAAATAAAAATGATTACGTTTATATAGATTCCGGGCCTTATGAGTGTAATGAACCTAACCAATATACACACAAAATAAAAAGAATAACTAATGGAACTAATGGGAAAAAATTAATTTTGGTTGAGGATGTTGTATATGTTATAAGATTAATAAAATTAAATATTTGCTTGATAGAATATAATGAAAATTCTGGGATTGATGAGGTGGATTTGGGTAGATTAAAGGGGGATATCGAGTGAATCAGATGATTAAGATTGACATAAAGGGATTAAGGGATTAAGCGGGTTTTGAGTGGAACTGGATCGCGGACTAGGGGTGTAAGAGTTCGATCCACACACTTTTTCATTACCCAAAAGTAGTATATATACCACTTTTACATCAAAAATAAATTTTCGATGTAAAACCGTCACAAAAATTATTTTTTAAAAGGTTTAGGGGGAATTTAAAAATTATGCCCAGCGTTGCCTAACTTGCCAGATCGGACGGGTTGGCACATTTACAAAGCAGCACGGACGTATTAAAACAACAGTTGAAATTTCAATATAAGATCTTAATTTTATTTTTTAATTTGCTAACTTAATTTTCTTTTTTATTAATTTAATTTTCCTTCTAGAATTTTCCTTTTTTAATCTTTACCCTCCTCAAGCATTGTTTATATTTTTTATTGGAAAAAATTAAACAAAATAAACAAAAATATTTACAAAAAACAAGGAAAAAAGTGTATTTAAATTGGGAGTATCTGTCATAAATAATTTAAATATTTTCTTGCCTAATAAATATTTGTAAGCCTAATGTCTTCTCCAAAGTTTAATTGAAAACAATTTGGTTTGTTTGTTTCTTATAAATTATTTAAATATCAAATAGTTTTTAAGGGAAAATTGGTGGAAAACAAATTTATTCTTTAGGAACTGAACATTCAAATTTAAATGAAACGGTTTTACTAAAAATT